AAAATTTTTTTATTGATTAATTAAAAAATAAAAAAGTTTTATTAGTAACATATATCAATTTTAGATGAAAATTTTAAAATACCATACATTTCTATATAGAAATGATCTACGTTACCCCCTACCCTTAAAAAATAATTACTATCGCTATGTAACAGTATCGGTAGTTATGATTAATATTACGTAATTTGTTGCCAACACTATTTAGACCGTATTCCAAATAAATAGTTAAAAATCTTATCTGAATACGCAAATAATTTTTACGATTCATCACGTGAAATTAAAGTAATTGCGTGCTTCGCATAAAATAATTCTTTAGGTTATTCGAATAAATATACTTATTCAAATAATATTGTGATATATAAGGTTAGGAAATATTACTTGAACAAAAATTCAGTATGCTCCAATCGGGTGACCAAAGTGGAGATTTTTTTAAATAGGTCGGAAAATTAATTCAACTTTAACCTAGTTATCCTGTGTACAAGATAGTTATACCCGTGGTTTCTTTCATTAAATACATTAACTAATACAAACAATTGAAATAAATTATTGTATTTATTAGTGTTCCAAACAAGATTTAGACAATTTGACACCCTATTTTTTAGCTCACTGGTCATGTAGTAATAAGTGTCTAGATTCCAATTTATTCATTAGAATTAGAACGTAGTCACTCCGCATGTTAATACTGTAATGCAAAATGTATAGGACCATATAAGGAAATCAGTGAGCATTGTGTCGTGACCAAGATGCGACCCTGATAAGCTCAATGTTAATACTAATGTTATGCATTATGTGTCATGATACAAAGATAGTACAATGTAACATAACGATCATATAAGAATAATTTTTAATACATTTGAACATTTAATTTTTTCTTATACTAAATTTGGAAGTAAATTTTTAATTATTTATTGATCTTAAAATTTTAAATTGTTTTGTTTAACCATAAATATTAATTTGTATTTATTCCCAAATTTTTAATCAATTTTTAGAATTATTAATTGCATTTCCTTATTGAAGGATAATTAGAAAATAATCGGTAAACTACGTTATTAATCTTTTGAATTTAATTTTCTAATGCATAAAAATTGGGAGTTAGTGTTTATATTTGCAGTACTTAATTTATTCCAAAGTTTATATTGCATGTATGTTCATATTATTAGGAAAGTATAAAGTTTAATAATTGAAATTAATGATTAATTAATATATTATCTGTGACATTATTTTTATTGGCTAAAATATTATAACATCAAAGAATCTTTTTATGATTTTTAATAATTACAGGCAGAACAATTTAATAAAAAATGATCATAGATAGACCTGAAAAAGTTTTTAAAATTATTTGACGAATAATTCATAGTATTGTTTTATAAATCATTTACTACGGTTAGGACCCAGCTTACGATTTCATTTATTATATTATTATTTACAAGCGAAACCATATTCAAAGATAAATATTAAAATATGAACTTGAATTAATATATCTAGAACGGTATATCGTTAAATAGCTTATTCGAAATTAAATTTCATTGATGATGTAAATTACAAGCTAACGCGATTTTTTTGTATCACTTTTATAATTAAATGCACTATTGGTGACGACTCTGGGGAAGATTATCATTATTGCAAGCTTTATTCGGTAATTTTTACTTTGACCCAAAAAAATGTGCTATGTTAAAGTAAACAATTTTTGACAGAGTTACTAAAAATCAGAAAAGTTTCAATTGAAAAAAAACAATGAAATTTTGCCAAGACAAAAAATATCGGATTAGCCCGCAACACTAGAAAATACCATTAGATTTTATATTTTTACGTATTCGGAATTTGATGTAAGTTCCAAACAATTAGAACTACGTTACATCTAAATTGTATAACTTTATATTTGCATTTCTTTTAATTGGTATCACAAACGAATTCGCGAAATTTTGGGTAATATTATTGGCTATTTTATAATTGCATTCTCTTATAAATGCATGCCTTAGAACTAATCCTAACGATGTGCACTTATAGAGATCTTATTTTATATATAATATATATATTTATATTTTCAATATGGTTATCCGAAAATTGTCTGTCCTTATTTGCCTCGTGTTCTTCGTGACAATTTCACTTAGTTATCCACAATCTTCCTCTTCCCTTCATAACAAACGTGCCGATAAAAAATCTAAAGAATTTAAACATGTCTTACTAATTTCAATTGACGGCCTTCATCAAAAGGATGTTGATGTATTTACAAAAGCTAACCCGGGTTCTAATCTTGCAACTATTCTTAAAAATTCCGTATATTTCACAAAGGCCAAAGATGCTTTGCCAACTGATTCTTTCCCTGGTCTTTTGGCTCAATTAACTGGTGGTTTACCAAAAACTACTGGTGTTTGGTATGATGATTCATGGTATGTGATCAAATGTTGAAAAATATTAAAAATATTATCAATCTTTTATTTTAAAATGTTTTCTTATTTATTTAAACTTTTATTTTACTCTTAGGGATGGTACTTTCTTTGCTCCTGGATCTGACTGTAAAGGAAAACCTGGTCTGAATGTGCTCTGGGATGAGTCACTTGATGTAAACAAAACAGTTCTTAACACTACCGTTAATCAAGACCTACTTCCGTTACGAATTGATCATGGTAAATGTGTAAAAGTTCAACCATGGGAATATCTTCGTGTTAATACTGTTTTTGAGGTTGCAAAGAAACATGGTCTTAAAACTGCTTGGGTTGATAAGTTACCTGCATACTCGATCATTAATGGTCCTTCTGGAGAAGGTGTTGACGACTTTTATGGTCCAGAAATTGCTAGTTTAACAGATAAAGCAAACCTTACATTCGTTAAGCCATACGATGATATTCACGCGCAATCCATACTCAATTGGATTGATGGCAAATCACATGATGGTAAACCTTTCTGTGTTCCTAATCTATTCGGTGGTAATTTCCAGTCCCTCAGTGTGGCTCAAAAATCTTCGTCAGTTATATCTGGACTTGTTGGTGGTTATGCTGATGCTGATGCTACTCCGGAAGATTTAGTTAAAGATGCTTTTAACCATGTAGATGGTATTCTTGGAAAATTTGTCAATGAATTAAAGGCAAAAAATTTACTTGATGATACAATTATCATCATTTCCGCAAAACATGGTCAATCTCCTATTGATCCTAAATTATTTAAGAAAATCGATCCACAACTTTTAAATGACACAATTGGTGCTGATAAACTTAACCAGATAACATCAGATGATGTTGCACTTATTTGGTTAAAAAATCATTGTGATTCAAAAGCCGCTGCAGAAAGTCTTTCAGCTAAAAAAGATGCTCTTGGTATTGCAGAAATATTTGAAGGCGAGTCACTTAAAGCAGAATTTGGCTGTGATCCAAATACTGATACTCGATGCCCCGATATTGCTATCAGAGTCACACCTGGTATTATATACACCACTTCGAACAAAAAAATTGCCGAACATGGTGGTTTCAATGAAGATGATTATCATGTTCCAATTATAGTTTATAATCCTTGTATTGACGAAAAAGTTGTTGCCGATGCTGTTGAAACTCGCTACATTGCACCCTTCATTCTTTCCGCTCTTGGATTGGAACCGAACGAGTTACAAGCTGTCGTCAAAGAAAAAACTCCCACTCTTCCAGTTTTTTAGTGGATAACTATATTGATAACCAAAAACAAACATATGCGTTCTTTATAGTTACAATCTTTTAATTAGATATATATATATATATTTTTTATTTGCCCTATTAATTTTTCTTTATTGCTGTATTTTTTTTTATTAATATTCATTACATACCCCTTTGTTTTCATATTCAATGAATTGAAGCTATCATTGAATACCTTTTTTTCGTTTGTTTTTTAACACTTTATTAATATGTTTACATTTTTAATATCTAGAACAGACAAACCATTCAAAACCCTTAAGCTGATTCACGTATCAGTTTGATTTAATATAATTAGACTTTATTTAAGTCGAAAATTTCTTAGTAATATATATTGAAAAGAAAGTTTTTTCATAATACTTTCTTTTTTACTTTTTTTGATATTTGTAAAAAAAAAAAAAGAGAGAGAAAATATCAAAATTATCATACTGTATACAATTGTTTCATAGTTTTGTTCGTTTTGTAATTTAATACAGTAAAACCGACTAAAGCACTCAAATGTATCAATAATAAATGCTTAAGTCATGAATTGAAATAAAAAAAATGAAATATGTGAATAATATTTATATTTTAATAATAGACTGAACAAATTTTAAATTATAGACAATTAGGTCTGATCTATGATATCATTTCGCCAATTGTGTTAAAGCTTGCATTATTTTAATTAAATTATAATGCCGGAATTTATATCTTTTAATTAAAAAAAATCAATTTCAAAAGTTAGTATAAAAAATATAATTAATGTTTATAAGCATCGTTATCATGAAAAATTTTAGCAAGATATAATAAATCCTTATTTCTCGTTCTAAAAATTATAAATTTGGTCATGAAAATGGTCATAAAATTACGGTAATTTAATGATATGTTAACAAAACAGCAAGTTACTGGCAAGTTATTGTCTACTACCAGTAATTTACCGCGGTAACTTACTATGTTAAGTTACACTACAACCCTGCATAAAAAATAGAGTAAATCGTGAATGAACTTGTAAGACAATGATAAGTGTTCTCATTATAAATATAAATAAGCAAAGAATTAGTCAACATTGAAGTATCTTTTATTAAGGATAGGAATCAGAAATGTAAAACAATAAATTTGGCAAATCAGAATTAGTAATTTTGTGTTACTTAAGAAATTAAGTTACAGTATATATGAAGGTAGATTTAAAAAAAATATAGGGACCAAAATCCTAGGCTATAAATAAAAGACACTAAATTATATAACATAAAAGTTTGGTAAAGATTGATCATGATTTTAAAAAGTTTTATCAGGAGTACGTATAGTTTTTACAATGCATGTAATTTTATCACGTTATATTGTACTAGCTTTACGAAAGTTCAACCAGCATTGTTGCATTATTTGATTTACTTAATTCGGTAACTCTTACAAATTATATGAAAACTATGTTACCGTAAACTTACGCAAAATTACACAAAATTACGTAAAATTACTGTAATTTTACAGCCCTAACGTACTGTGAGCCCGATTTTCGGGGTCACAGGTGACCGAATCGAAGTGACGATCCTGACCCGATCCGAGGTCACATGGACGTGACGGAAATGTCACTTATGTTACTTATGTTACTTACGTCGCTTCTCCGACTTCGCCTACATATGAGTTAAACGAAATATTAGTGTTTTATTAGACTTA